ACATGACTATTAGGGCTTATACCCAGTTCAATATTTTGAAACTACATTACGCTTTTTCGTTAGCACTTACGTTACAAAGTAGCTCTACTGGCGACTGTGCTTTCAGTAGGAGTCGTATGAAAATGATTCAATCAGCATGCAATTACCCGAACAATGACCAGTTTTCCGAGTATGATCCAATAATATTTCCCTTAGAGCGTGGGAATTCCAACCAACACTCACAATAGAAAGTTGTATGGTTAACCTCGGTACGTGTGATCCTTTCGCTTAGCCGAATCGTTCACCAATCCCTCTCATATTATAAAGAGTTAACCCTATGCGTACAGAAACCTGGTGTTCCCTGTATTATTACCTATGGGAATGAGATAATTGAGTAGTCAAAGGGTTTAACGAGTATGAATTATTCCTTAGGTAGTGGGAATTCTCACTAATATTTAATAGATATCACTGGTATTATCTCATACTGGTATTGTTTGATGCTCTATTCCCATTACGAACATTACGAACCAGAGCAAAATAACACTGAGTCCCTATATATAGAAAATCTATTTATTCAGATGGTCATATATCAGCCAATATTTTACATATTCATTTGGTTTTCGACATTTGTACATTAATTTTGATGCTCTTATGGAAAACGAAGAAAATATTGAGAAATTCTAAAAATACATTTGTTGATGACGTCAAACTTCACCACTCTATACAATTTGCATAGAAAGTTAATAATTCACACTGAAATTTTGCCAGTAATTCAATTAATGTGAAACTGGTGCCTGGCCTCCGAAATTCAATTACAGAGTTTCCACTCCTTCTCTATCACCTCCCTAGTTACAGTCATAATTATTTATATGAGTCACTAACTCGAATTTTGCGTACATAATGCGTTATTCAATGTGGGATATGTATATTGAACTCAACTTGGTGAAATATCTAAGTGCATTGTTAGGAACATCATAATGCTGTATCAAGCAAAATAAAATTATGTTGCCGCTCTCATATCAGCTTTCTTATTCTTTTCCTCCATCTCTTTTTTTCCCATTCTTATCTCTCATATCCTAGTCTTCTTCTAGTACACAGCGCGTAAGCAGGGGGGTGGGGGGGGGAGGGGGATGTTTTGGGGGTTAACCCCCCCCCCTCCCCCCTCGATTATTTTTTTTTTTTAAAGAATATTCAGGTTTTTGAGCTCAACAAACTTATTGGAATAGCTTATTCAAAGAAACATTTATCTTCTAGATATTTTTCGAAATGTTCAACTTACTCACTTGCCATGCGGTTGAAAATGTCATCAGAAGTATTTCATATCTTTGTTTGATAATAAGAAACTCCTTTTGCCTCTGCAAGTCAAACGCGTTTACCAACTCAGATGGCGCTGTGGATGTGTTGGTCATGACAGGGATTAAATGGACTATGTCACATTGTGCAGATGAGAGATGGTGCTATTAAAGGTAATGACTTCAATGCTAGATGTACAATTAAGGATAATCTGAAAGTTTGAGTAAAAACAAACCATTATTAATGATAAAAATTGGGAAAAATGATCAGCTCGATTTCTTAATTCTCCTAACTATGTTATTACAATAGAATGTAAATTATCACAAAGCAATAAGTTGGCTCTATATACCATTCCAGACATTTAAGTGTTGAAAGATTTTTTTAAAGCCTGTCTTATGTCTTACTTTCATGGAAAACGGTTGGGAAAATTCAAAAATAGTTGGGAAAATTTACTGTTAGAGGGTGTCGCACAGTGACGCCTTCAAAGAAAACCATAAATATCTGAGTGTCAACCTTTTTTTGACTTGATTCAGATTCAGATTCAGATTTTATTTCCGTTTCAAAACAAACAAAATATAAACAGACATAATATAATACAGTCAAATATAATATAAACAAACTTACACGGTCGCCAACAATACCGAGTAGTATACCTTGTTTGGTCTCTTGTCGGTCTCGGCAGCGTCTCACAAAAACCGTCATATATGACTGCAAATTTGCCGACATCCAATAAAGTGCATATAAACCAACACACGTTTCAATGGGATGTTGGCTATTAAATTTGTATCTGTTTTGTAACTATAAATATATATATATATATATGTATATGTTTAAATTTTAACCCTCCATGTTGTATTAACAGGACATCTATATATAACCCTAAACCGGACATAATAAAAAATTGGTCTTTTAATTCTAACCCTAACCCTAACCCTAAATTAAAAAAGTGCAACTAATTAGACTAATGATTAAACCTATTCTTTCTTGTGAGGCCTTCAAGTTTCCTCTGCCTGCAAACATACGTAGAAGGCTGTACTTTTTTAGTTCAAGCATTAACAGGAAACGAAAATGTCCTGCAAGTGACCATCGGGGCTTGCCACTAGATATGTACATATCGTACCCCACTATCATACCCCACTATACGATCGTGATTTGCGGGATGTTGCGTTTATCGTCTCTTCACGATTCACAATAAAGGCCTTGTCTCTTCGCAGATGCTCAGCGCCGCTATTTCTCAGAACCGGAAACTAGCCTGGGAATTCCTATTTGTATGTGAGGTTCAAAACAGCTTTGCGTTTATCGATCTCTCAGAAACGTGATTCTGGCTGTATGTCACATTCAAAACACACCTTTTTGCGTCTTTAGATATGCCCATATCTAAAGCCCTTTAAAAAAGGCTTTGCGTTTATCACCTTCTAAATTTGCCTGAAAGACGTTTGAGAAACCTGATTCTAGCCAAAAATTTGGTCGATAAACGCAACCCATGTTTACTAAATGACTCATTTTTCACCTGACGCCGTAAGATTTTTTGAATTTTCTCATGCTCGAACTTTTAAATGTAAAATACTTTTTGTATTTCTAACTTGTTTTTTGGTATACTTCTTGTAATGTCGTCTGCTCAGTGTTGTGTTGTATGTAAGAGGCAAATTCTTAGAAACAGCAATGAAAGTCAAGGGTGTTTTTGTACAGATCCAGTGTACGATAACCTTTCGGAAATACAGAATGATTTCGTTAATGACACACATTTTGACAACAGTTGTTGTTAATAACATTCGTAACTTAGCAATTCTCTGTCTATACTACATCTCAATTGCAGAAGTCTTAAGAGAAACTTTGAAAATTGTATATGTACCCTCTCATCTATTTCCCATTTTCTATTACCGCATTATCAGAAACATGGCTTAGTGGTATAAGAATCTCTGAATTTAGATGGTTACGCCTTTCTTGGTCAAGGAAGGGAATAAAGACATGGCGGTGGTGTAGGTTTCTATATAGAAAATACAATTAAATTAAAAGTAATAATTGATTTGGATGTTTTTAATGAAACTGTTGAAATTGATATTTTTTTCGAAATATATACTTAAATATAAACAAACTATCCTCGCTATTGGGTACAGACCGCCCAATCACGTACGTTGTCTCCTAATTTGGTGATATGTTAAGGCACCACTACTACAAATAACAAATTAAAATGAAGAGTGTCTGTTGATTGGAGATTACAATATTGATTTATTATGTGCTACAGTTTCAACAAATACCAACAAATGTATAGACTTACTTATGACTTACTCGTTCACGCCCTAATGTCCTAAAACCAACACGATTTTCAAGGACATCGGCCACTCTCATTGACAATATTTTTTCAAATAGACCTGAAAATTATTTGAAGGCAGATATTTTGATTACCGATGTCGGTTATCACCTATCTATCTTTTCTTTTTAGACATGCAATAGATGTGCGAATCGGGGTCACGTGGCCTCCCGCAGTTTCAACTCCATAGCACATATTTATTACGAATAAATTATCAAACTAGACGTTGCGTTATTTCTACAAACATCAAACATTAAGGTATAACAATAATGTGTTATAGTGATTTCAAAAGCTTTTCTATACTCTATTGCTCTGTGTCACATTGATTGTCTCTCATAATAATCATTGACCAACAATAATTCAACCTCCCAGCCTAACTAAAAGCCCCTGTACGGGATGATATGATATTAGGGACTTTTAGATGAATTGCACGTCGACATAGTGAACTGCTACGTGTGACTTCCTTTTAAGGCACTGGCAGTGCCCTAAAAGGACATCACGGTGCCTTGAAAGGAAGTGACACGTAGCAGTCTACTATGTCGACGTTCAAATCTTAAAGTCCCTAATGTTTTCATTGGTGTCCTTAAAGGGACACTAGTTTTAATGCCCGCTAAACGCCCCCATTGTCTGATTGCAAGCAATACACTTTGCAGTGAACGGCACTTTGACATCATTTGACAATGCTTCCCTTAAAGCAATATTGCCGATTGGTCGGCGGCCGCCAATTTTTTTTTCCCACGAGAGGACGGCACTTTGACATCATTGTTCAGCTGCAGGCGGGAAACAATGCTTCCCTCAAAGCAATGTAATGCTAAGTTCACACCGACGCCGAATTGATGGCGAATTAAATCGGCGAGCAAAGCGGCGGCAAAGCGTAACAAAGCTTAATTAAAGCGTAAAGACCGTAATAGAGCGTGAGAAAGCTTTGAGCAATTCGGGACATTCGGCAAGAGCGCCAAAAAAAATTAAACTGTTTAAAAATTTGAGGCGATCTGTCACGAATTGCGTAAAGCGGGGAGAGCGTATTAAAGCTTATCAAAGTTTTGCTCAAAGCGTAGGAAAGCTTAACAGAGTTTAAATTTTTGGCGCTCTTGCCGAATGTCCCGAATTGCTCAAAGCTTTCACATTATGGTGTACGTGGGAAGGCCTTGGAGTGGTTCAGGAGCTATCTTTCGGATAGAAAGCAATATGTTTTTTTAAATGACAACTCCTCAGATCTTCGTAAAATGGTTAGGAGCCAGAGCATAATAACACTGAGTTCCTATGGGGAGTATATTTATTCAGATGGTCATATCTCAGCCAATACTTAACATATTCAATTGGTTTTCGACATGTGGACATTATTTTTGATGTTCTTTCGGAATATGAAGAAAAAATTGAGAAATACTAAAAATAGATTTTTTGATGACGTCACACTTCACCACTCTATTCGTATTGCGGTGATTTCCGGCGTGTACCGTAGCTGGCCCAGCTGGAGTTCATCCGTGCCCTGACTCCTGAAGCTAATTCTTTCACCTTCCTCAGCAGTTCGTCTGGGCAGCTCCTTATCTGGTCCAATCTGTCTTAGAAGCTCTTCCAGCTGTTGACACTTCGCTTTATGTGAGGTCACAGCCTCTGTCTGAAGAGGAAATTTAAGACTATTCATAACTAAGTCCAGAACTTTCTTAATCTGTTTTGTCTGCTTACGACCCGACTCCTCCATGTCTCCCAATGAAGTCTTGAGCTTCCCTAGCCGGCCGTGCTCAACTTCATTTTTCAAAACCGTCTTTCTTTCCTTCAATATCTGAACGAATTCCTCAAAAGTCTCATCTATTTCATCCTTGCCTTGTTCCTGTAAGTTATGCACCTTTTTACGCTGGTCTACAACTGAAGAAACATACTTGATAACGTCTCGTATCTTTGCATCCGCTTTAAATGCAAGTTCCTCGACCTGATTCTTTTGCGCAGTTTCATAAGCGCCTTCTTCCAGGATAGTGTGAGCATTCTTTACATGCTCTGATATTGCACACTTGCAGCAGACATACTTGTTACAACTAAGACAAAAACATTCCTCATCGTAGTTTGGATGTTTTTTACATTTGCTCCATTTTCTTTCCAATGATTTATCTTCTTGATTACCTCTGAAACAGACTTTGGCCTGGGTTTTCACATCCTCAACAAGTGATCTGACTGTTATGTTTGATTGCAGTCTACCCACGTCTCCACCAGGAACCGAAGTCTCCCCCCTGCATGTAGGACACAACAGAAGGTCCTTGTTCCCATGAGACTCCAGCAGAGTCTCAAGACAACCCTTGCAGAAGGTATGGGAGCAGGCCAGGTTCTTGGGATCCTTGAAGAAGCTCAGGCAGACAGGACACTCGAGGTTCTTATGGACAGCCTGCTTCAAGGAAGTAGCCATCATTGACAACTTTAGCACACGACCTGTGAAAAAAGACACATCGGTGAATTGAGTTGCCAACTCTCTCAAAAGTGTCAATCACTTGTGTAAATACTTAGCTGGCTAGTATTGCACTACAAAATGTTAAACATAATGTATGACATGATTATTAAAGCCTATCCGGTTCAACATTTTGAAATAACTTTACGCTTCTTCGTTAGCACTTACGTTACGAAGTAGCTCTAATGGTAACTGTGCTTTCAGTAGGAGGCGTGTGAAAATGATTCTGTCAGCATGCAATAACCCGAATAATAACTAGTTTTACGAGTATGACTCAATTCTTTTTCCCTTAGAGCGTGGAAATACCCACCAACATTCGCAACAGAAAAATATTATGTTCAACCTTGGCACGTCTGATCCTTTTCCGGAAACCGTTCGCCCACGCACTTAAGTTAAAGTTATATGGACTATGTAACATTGTTCAGATGAGAGATAGTGGTGATAAGGTAGTGAGTTCAATGCTAGATTTACAATTAAAGATAATCTGAAAATTTGAGTGAAAACGGACCATTATTCATGGTACAAATTGGGAAAAACTGATCTGATCGATTCCTTAATTCTCCCAACTATCTTATTACAATTTAATTACATTTTAGGTGAATGTAAATCGTCACAAAGCCATAAAATGGCTCTACATTCTATTCCAGACAGTTAAGTGTTGACAGATTTTTGATAGTCTGTTTTATGTATTTTTTCATGAAAAAACGGTTGGGAAAATTCAAAAATGGTTGGGAGAATTTACTGTTAATCACTGTTAGAGGGTGTAGTATATCGACGCCTTCAAAGAAAACCATAGATATCTTCGTGGTTTGAGAATTTGTTCAGGATTTTTTGCATGTCAGAGGGTTAGTATAGTAGAAGGAATATAATAAGTAACATTTTATACAAAAATTAAGCAATTTTTCATCAACCTTCAACAATGTTACCGATTCACTTTAACCCTATGTGTACAGGAACCAGGCGTTCCCTGTATTATTACCTATGGGAATGAGAGAATTGAGTAGTGAATGGGTTAAATGAGTATGAAATATTCCTCATGTAGTGGGAATTCTCACTAATATTTAATAGATATCACTGGTGATATCTCATACTGGTATTATTTGGTTACAGTCATAATTATTTGTATCAGTCACTTATGCCACACTCGAGTTATGCGTCTACACCATGTGGGATATGTAGCCTACATTGAAACTCAACTTGGTGAAATATTTAAGTACATTGTTAGGAACATGATGCTGTATCACACATAATAAAATCATGTTGCCTCTCTCACCTCAACTTCCTTTTCCTTTTCCTCCATCCATTTTTCTTTAATTCTGCATGATCTCTCACATCCTAGTCCTCCTCTTGTAAACTATGCTTTTTTGTCTCCTCTCTACCACCTCTCTCTCCCTCCCTCATGTTAGAACCTTTACCTCAACTCTGTCGTGGCCGAGTGGTTTAAGGCGCTTGACTGGAAATGCGGAGGTCGAGGGTTCGAATCCCGACATCACGGCACTACTATCCTTTGGCAAGATATTAACCTGCACTTGCTACTCTCCGCCCAGGTGTTAAACGGTTACCCGGCAGGATGCGACCGTCGTTGTTGGTCAAACATTGTGGCCCGAATTCACAAAGCAAGGTTTGAGCTCAGACCAAGGTTTGAGCTTAAACCTCCTTTTGTTTCGCCAAACCTCCTTTTGTTCTTTACAAACCAGGTTTGTAAAAAACGCGTAAAACGCGTCATATGACGTACGAAAACCAAGGTTTGTCGACAAACCTCTTTTGTGAATTCGGGCCTGTTTGAGCGTCACGTAACGCCTGGCTGGAATGCTGCCCATGCAGGGAGTGGAGATTGTGTGCGGGCAAGTATTGAATCCAATGACCGGGTTGAAAGTATATCTGTAAAGCGCTTAGAGACATTTGTTTAAAGCGCTATTCAAAAGCGGAATGTTATCATTACTATTAATTCTTGCTAGGACAATTAAAATAAATTTTGCCCCCCTTCCCTCCAATTCAGACATGCATGCCAGGCTCACACGCCGCTGCATTGTAAATTCTTCTTTCCAATTTGTTTGGCAATTGTCTTGTTAGGCCTGTGACGGCGTAGGATCGAAACAAACAAATAAATAAATAAATACTAAAATAAAATGAATAACTCAATATTGCAATCAAACATTTATTAAATACAAGTGCTCTCTTGTCATTTCTAATGTTTTTTTAGGGCAAAATCTTGCGCGAAGTTTGATATTTGAAATGTGAAGATGTTTTTAATGTTCTCACATATTTGAAATAAAAACCGATGGACAAGACGTTGTGTAGGGACCCCCACCCTTTACACAATGTTAGGGCATAATGCCGATAACTTATTAAGGGACCTCTAAGTTATACATTTGCCGATAACATTTAGAAATTGCCAATAGAACATTTAAGTGGGATTCGAAGAACCTACAGCTTGTCAGAGTGTACTAGTCGACGTCGTAACACAATTCTTATCATTGACACCCTGATTTTAAAAACACTGAAGTGAAACCATGGACTTATCGTTGTGACAGAGAACCGGAAAGTATTAGGGAGAGCGAGGTAGAGGTGGAACGAAGGCAAGAACTTAAAGGTACTATGTCCCATTTGCAGGCCCAAAAAATGAAAAGGTTAAATTCCAACGGCATTTGAAAGATAATACTAATTTAGAACTTCAAAGGTGGGGCTTGAAAATGTCTTCAAATGGGAAAATAACGACTATTAGTTGTCACATCGACTTAGGAGCTATAGAGCCAATAAGTAATAGTCTTGATTTTCAGACCACTGTACTGAATGGTCATACGTTTTATGCTGCGCAAAGATTTAATCAGTTTAATTTTGGCCATCACAAGAAGTGGGTTATTGATGTAGACAAATGCTCATGTACCCTTTACAGCTCATTTTATGTATGTTATTATCAAAGAAGAAAAAAAGCCAGTCAGTCACTCAATAGTGTCTGACAGTGAAGTCTAGCAAGTAAACAGATTTCCTTGCATAATTTGAATATTAGGACACTGCTAACATTTAAATTTCACAGATAGGACAAACATGACATATTCATAATTCCTGCAAAGTTCTACAGAATTTGAGGTTGGCTGCAAAAGGGACATAGTACGTTAAATGCGTTATAATTTGTAATTCCTCCTCTATATCAAGCATCATGTAAATAACATGCAAAGCAAGCAAAGAGAATAAGAATGAATTATGAGACAGTTTTTTTAATGTAATTCACGGGTCGTATTAATTAACTGATTATGCTGATGGTGTTCATGCTTTACTCTTCTATTTATGCAGGGTTGTCAACTTTGGGGAACTGCTTCGAGGGAGGCCGTTTGCCCGCTGCTAGCTGCGTTTAGAGTACTGTTATAGGTTTAAGCTCAGGTTTTGAGCTCAACAAACTTATTGGAATAACTTAATCAAAGAAACATTTATCTTCTAGATATTTTACGAAATTCTCAGCTTTAATACCCACCTGTCATGCGGTTGAAAATGTCATCAGAAAAATATTTCTTAGAAATTTACAAAAACTATTGCGTTATATTTTGCGATTACAAGTCATATATTTGCAATATACGGCCGTGTAAATGAATTTGCTTCATTCGTATTAATTCCGTGTGTATATTCACTATCTTTGGTTTCTCTCATCTGTGTTTTGATAAAAAGAAACTCCTTTTGCCTCTGCAAATTAAACACGTTTACCAACTTAGATGGCGCTGTGTACTTCTTGGTCACGACAGGGATTAAGGTTTCCATTGCTCCTGAAGAGAGTCCAAAGATCACTCCCTTTTCCACAAAAGACTTAATCCTTGGTAATGAAGTAATGAGTAATGAACAGTCGCGAAGCTACTTTTTTTTTTTTAAAGATGTTTTTAATTATTTTCTCTCAAATCAAACACATACTGTACAAATCATTTTAACAAGACTGGATACATTGTACATTGATATTTTGGATTAAACATGAATTGCTATAATAACATTAACTGTTTAGAAAACATTTTCACATATATTAATGTATGCGAGATTTTTGTTGTCTATTCCCCCATTCCCTCCACCGTTAAACATACTCTCAACACCCTCATCTACACACTTCTACCCCACCCCCACCATGCGAGACACGACACACACACACACACACACCCACCACCACCCTACCACATATTTATCACACACTGTTCCTAACCCCCTCAGAATTCCAAAATTGGAGCGACAAAATAATATAAATAATCTATTAAACAAAAATATTGAATGAATTATTAAAACGAGGCTACAATAACCCAGTGTTACAAGCTACGGGGGGCACGGAGACACGAATTTCCACGCACAAACACACACACACAACCACACAACAAGTGAGAGCACGGGGAAAGATGAAGTAACGGAAGAAAGAACGTGATATAGCATATAATGTGAGTATTAAACCTGAAAACAGAAACTGACTTCTAGTGTTTTTGTCCATAAACATCCCTTTTAGGGTGGCTATATAATCTCGCTATCTTTACTATATTCAAATTCTTTTAACAAGGTAAAACAATCAATAATGATTATTGTGGAAGAAAAGACACTCGATATTCTTTTTGTTGTAATTACTTGAAGGTAATACAAAGTTTTTGGACATTTTTAAAAGGTCTGAAACGTAAAAAAAATTGATGCAATAAGCATTAAAACCAATTTTAAAGTTTGACGCACGCGTACACGTAGGCCATGACGCGCGCACGGACATGGGTGTAAACAAAAGTTTACCCATGACGTCAAGTTTATGCATATACAATATCATTCAGAAATGACAATGTATGACGGAAATATGGTCAATAATATAAATTTCTGGAAAAGCTTTTTGCACAATGAAATGCATATAAACCAACACGTGGTCTCGTAAAACTACATACTGTTTTAAGCCTCGTTCGTTTGACTGGGGTAGTCCTACTTATTCCGTGATTAGGGGTGATTAGTTATATGATGTG